AACATGACTCGCTACTTTTGAATTAAAGTGTTATTTGATCAGATGAGTTCATGGGTGACATCATCTTGGGAAAGAAAATCAAAATTGTCAAGCAAACAAACAAAGAAAAACAAGAACAAAAAAAGACTACAACATGCTATTAGCCTCAAAAGAAGAGTCTGAATTAGCTCTCCTAGCAACTAAACAACTAAATCTAATTGAATCCATCACTCTCATCTTGAATAAATCCCTCAGCAGTCTTGACAGATCCACCTGTTTGTCAGTCAAGGTTGGTAGAAATGTCAGAACATGTTTGTTGTCATTGCACGGAGCCGCTCCTGCTAAAAATATACCCACCTACGATGCTGGAAGGCACTGTTGGTGAAAAGCCTTGAGGAGAACATTGACGACGTCTAAAGCCGGAGTGAGAACTCAAATACAAAAGTAGCAGTGGTGATGGCGGCAGTCATAAAAACGATTAATTTAGGTAATAATTAGTGTGTTAGAATGTCAGAAATTTTAATCTCTGCTTTAATGTTTCACGTTAGGTATTGAGCTTTTATTTACTCATTTACTTTTGTAATTTTGGATTTTTCTTTACGTATGTAATCAATTTGATGTCTTTTTGATTTTCTCTTTTACTTCTCCATAAGTAGACTTTTTTTTTTTATTTCTCTGAATTAGGAATTGTTTTCTTCATAAAACATTTATTTATGATCTTTTTTATTTTTATGTCTGTGCATGCCTTTCTTTCACATCAGGACTTCTTGCTTTTTGAGACTTTTGGTAGCCTATTTCATGTTGTCAAACTTTCGAAGTGACGCCTTGGAGTAAAACTGAGCCAAAAAATGTGGTTAATAACTTGGTTTAATAAAGGGCGTTATTGGTTTGGATAGCTTTTTTTTTTCTTTCTAAGTTCTCATTTGGTTATTAAATTGTCTTTGTTTGGTAATAAATTAGGTGTGATTTAAGTGTCCAAAAAGTAAAAACGACACAAACCAAAGTGAGCAAATACTCTTCCACATCTCTGGATTTTTTTTTCTCAATTTGTATTCATATCTGCATTATTTAGACTGAGGGAGCCTTTATAGAGACCTAAAAGATCGACTGTCGACTGCCTTCAGATTTTTATACCATTGAAACTAATCTTCATTCCTTTCTGTGGATGATTTTTTTTTCTTTGCATATTGTTTTAGGTTTGCAGACTAAAATAGCACATGCGTGCAGAGGGTTGTTTGCACCCTCGCCATCTGTGCATTAGTCTTCCAACGTTTTCTTCTACAGTAGATCCAGTCGACTGACACGTTCATGTGGACTGGACTTCAATCAGACGGTCCGGACCGAAGCTTCCTGCGCCGACTGGACTCTGTTCTCGGCAGCTTCAGGAGATCTGCTATTGAAACCACAGTGGCCAAAAACAGAGAGAATTTCTCCAACAGGGATAAAGGGAGCGCAGTGAATTTCCAGTTGCCCCTGTAAGGTGCACAAGCCTGGTGTTAACAAGCAAGAGCCAAAAAACAACAACAAAAATAAAAAAAACCCACAATCAATAACAGAAAAAACAAAGCAAAATTGGCAGCAAACAGAGAGCTGCATGCTGCATGATGGATGCCAGCCAAAATGGAACAGACTTTTTTTACTGCTTACCTCCTTCTGGTGCATCATTCTTACTTTTCTTTTTTTTTTTCACAGGAAGATAAATTTCCTGCATGCTCCTGCTGTGCTGACGCATCCAGCTGAGTTTGTGCGTTTGCATAATTTTTTATGTCCCATTACAACTGGCTGCTTGGCCTTAATAAATATTGAAAGCTTTTTGAAGCAACACTTCTTTCTAAGCTACTTTTCTCTAATCTTTTAAGAAGGCTCTAAAACGTTTAGGTGTGCACGGCAAAATATGCAACAAGATGCACCAGGGTGCTGATCCCATTCAGATTCTCGGAGGGAGGAGATTCAAGATTGGATTTATGTTGAGGAGGAATCTTTATTCTTTAAATTTTTTTTTTTTTTTGCAGTTTTCTCTTTTCTTAATGACATGTTCTCTTCATTTCTTATCAGCGTTCTCACCTCTTCCGCACACATTTTCCGCCATTGTTATTTTCGTCTCTGTTTTTTCACCCTTTTCTTTTTTCTCGTGTTTTCTTTCAGAGCTCTCTTCCTGGGTTTGTCCAACAACCCTCACATCTCCGACCTTCACCTGGACATCAGCGGCTGTGAGGTATCGTCCGCCAGCCCTCTTCTGCTTGCATGAATCCACTCGTGATCTTTCTCAGTTAAGCCTCCCATCATGCTCCGCTCCACTTTTTGTTTCTCCCCACAGCTGAGGTCGGCGGGTGCCGCCGTGATCCAGGAGCTCTTCCCTCGCGTTTCGTGTGTGGGGACTTTAGACGTCTCTGATAACGGTGAGAAACTTCAATCTGTTGGCACACCCCCGCAGCGCATTTGCGCTGTTTACAGCCGAGGTGGTTTTCAGTCGTACAAGAAGAGGCTTCGAATGGAAATACATCATATATCACCTGTTTAAATTTGAGGGGTGAATGCTTCAGTTTGTGTACAAATCATTAATGTTTATATGAAAGTGTTGATGCGGACTGCTGACGGTGGGTATAGATCAGGGGTGCCCAAAGTCGGTCCTCGAGGTCCGGCATCCTGCATGGTTTAGTTCCCTTCCCGATTTTAACGCACCTGGATCAAATGATGGCTCGTTAGAAGGCCTAAGAGGAACATTGACAAGCTGAAAAGTTGTTACTACCACCAGGGAGAGAACTAAAACGTGCCGGATGCCGGCCCTCGAGGACCGACTTTGGGCACCCTTGTTATAGATGGTGGAAGATTGAACTAATATACGTTGTCTTGTTCCAACCTTAAAGAGGCAGTATTATGCGTTTTCCAACCACATAGTGCCAATTTATAGTTCAATCACTTAACTGTTATCTTCAGCTGTTATACAAAATACTGTATAAATCAAACATGTCTTAAAAGAAATTTTTCTTCCTGATGTAATGCCTTGAAATTGGGCCTCTGTCTCTTTAAGGAGCTCTTGCTCTCTTTTTGACGCTCATCTCAACATCGTCCTTCTGATGTTGATAACCTTTTAGCGACGTTTTTACCAGTGTTGCACTGAGGAGTAACTCGTTTAATGAGCTCCGGAGACGAGCAGCTCCATCAGGTGTTTGCTAATTGCTGCTGGCTAGTCTGAAGGAGCTGAATGGAGAAGCCGTGGGGAAGGGCTGTGAGACAGAAGCTTGGAGACCGCAGCTACATCTCGAAGGCAGCGCTTTGTTTGCGCAGCTGACTGGTTGCCACGAGAGATTAAAGGATTTCTCACAGATGCATGAAAGAAGGAAAATAATTACATTTTTTAATTGTCATTATTTCCTGGAAATCAGTTTTTACATTGACATTGAGGAGATTTTTTTATTTTTATTTTTTTTTGGGGGGGTGTAAATATTTTGTCAACAAGGCCTATTTTTGTCGCTCCTGATTGATTCATAAAAGCATGAAAAAGAGTAAAACATCTAAAGGGGTGAATATTTTCGTCCCACTTCTCTTCGACTGTGTACTGTTTCTTTTAGTCTCTCAGACTAAATGTTAACAGATCGCTGTAATATTTGTGCCTGTAACAGTCGTGCAGGGTAGTGTCAGGTGTGTGTAACAGAAAACCACAAATCTCCAGTTTTTCAGTGCACTTTGATTTTTCAACATTTTATCCTTGTAATGCACAGCGGGTTTCCAAGTATTTCATGTCCGGATAGCTGGAATTTCATGAAACTCGAAAGAACTCCCATTCACCTTGAAGCTACTGCATGCCGAGACCAGACTAGATTCTTTGATGTTGCAACAGCTACAGCAAATACGTTTGACTTCTTCTGCAAACCTTTTACAACAAAGCACATAAGACAAAACATGCATAAATCCTTGAGTTGTTTTCGTAGAATCGGTAACATCAAACTAGTCTTTTCAATAACCTGTGGACAAAATAAGTTTTGCGCCTTTTCCCGCTTAATCATCTGAGCTGTTTTCTGCCTTCATATATATATATATATAATCTTTTTTGCTCTCTGAATGAAGCATTTTCAGTCTTGGATGGAGTCACATTTTACCATGGTTACTGCTTTCTCTTTTTCTCCCTCATTTTACAAAAAAGGGTGAGTAGGTGTGTGTCGGCGTACAGTCGGGAATATTTTGGAATTTTTGCGGATTGTGAAAATGTCTCTCTCTCTTCAAAAATTGGACATTTTCACAATGAAGAAAAAAACTGCCTCTCTGAGCCGTTCATACTTATTAAAAACAAACAAGTTCACACACAACACCTACTGCGATTTGAGGACGTATTTCCTCATTTTTCTCAGCTTTTAATTTACTTGTCACACTTAAACGATTCAGACCGCAAAATTTTTTTTAAATATCTGAGACAATCTGAGTGATTATCAAAAGTAGTTTTCAAATTATTATATTTACTAAGAACTCTTTGTGTAAGTGATAATTGCCCACTAAACATAATTGCTGTTCTTTTCACACTTGATGGGGTGAACAGTCATCAATAATTTGCAATGACGAGTCTTTTTGAGTTTTCTCCTGTGCATAGACAAAAAGCCATCAGATCTCCGACTAAACGGCATCGGAATAAAAAGTCTCGATTGATTGATTGACTGATAAACCACCACATTTGACTGTAAGTATGACAATGTGTTTCAGAAATACTTTTATCTGCGTCATGAAATTAACAAATCACACAGAATCCAAGGCGTTCCACTTCTGTTTCATGAGTCCACAGAAACTTTTTTCCAAAAATCTTCAGGCTCGCCGAGATGTTTTTGGCAAAGCTACGAGAAGCTTCTATGTTCACTTTTGCTCAGCTGAGATTTTTACTTTAACTTCCTCATGGATACTATTTTTACTCTTATTGTTGAATCATGAACTCTGACCTTAATTGAGGCAGGTGAGAGCTGCAGAACTTTACATGTTGCTCTGAGATCTTTTGCAATGATCTGATTGAGTGACTGATGCACCTTTGTAGTAAGTTTGATTGGAAGGTTCACCACTTTTTTCTTTAGATCGATTTATGAGGTGTTGCTTTTTGAGACCTACAGTAACTTCATGTTGTTGGATGTGTTCGATTTAAGAGATATTTTGATAATGTAATCAAGTTACCTTCAGTTTTTATAAAAATGATGCATATATCAAACATGGCTCCTGATTTAATGCCTTAAAATACGGCCTCTGTTTCTAAAAACTCATGCTCTTTCTGACAATCCGCCTTCAGGAAGCCGTCACAACATTGCTCCTCTTTTAAACCCTTTAACAACATTTTTACCAGCGTTTCACTGCGAAGTAGCTCGTATAATGAGCTGAGCAGATGCACAGCTCCACCAGGTGTTTGCTAATTGCTGCTGGCTAGTCTGAAGGAGCTCGGAAACTGCGGTTGCGAGGAGGATCTGTGGTCCTTGGTCCAAATGGGCGTTTTGTACAGCTGAATGGTTGCCATGGGAGATGGAAGAATTGAATGTGTGAAAGAATCAAAACAACACTCCAGGTGTTTTTGAACATGATATATATATATATATATAACTCTGGTTATATTTGTTTAACGCTAAAACAAGAAATTTCCATACTTATTTACGGCACTGTAGCTCATGGCAAAACCCACTTTTGTTCTCTGAATATGCTATTATTTTCCTTTCCAGAACTAAAACGCTTAAAGTTGAACACCTGTTCTCATGCTTTATTGGCACTTGCATGGCGGTGATTAAAGATCTTCTCTGAAGCGGGATCTCAGAACGACTCCACAGAGCTTAGTCCTGCTGGCTTTTTGACTCGATGCGCTTCTCTGTTTTGGTTCAGGTTTGGATGCCGACTTGTTGGCTGTCATCCCGGCGTTCTCCCGGCACCCCTCCCTCAAACACGTGATGTTGGGGAAAAACTTCAACATCAAGGGCAGGTACGGACCGCAGTGGGGGGTATGGGGGAGCGGCGGCACAGATGGTGGTGAAGTTGATGCAGATGATGAATGTTTTTTCTTTTTTCTTTCTCCTTCCCCTTCCCTCCCATTTATGCCTCCTCAGGGTGCTGGATGAAATCCTGCAGAAACTAGTTCATTTGGTGCAAGAAGAAGAGTGTGTGAGTTCGATTATGTAACATATTGTACACATGCACGCATGCAGATATTCTCTGTGGTGTTATGCACAGATGCACGCCTACACATGCCTCACAAATTTGTCGCCGCACGCACGCGTGTGCTTCGCACGCCCAGAGACACACACTTGTCACCGAGCTGAATCCTTGTCCTCGTTTATGCCTGTTTAAGCTCAATCCTCCACCTGCCACACACACAAGGTGCAAACATCCTCGCAAGTCATGTTGTCTGCGGGCCTGATGAATGGTTCGTTTGGTCTCAGTCTATCCGGGAGACTCCAGAGGCTCTCTGTTTTTCTCAGCTCTGCAAATCCAGCATGACAACTCGCTTACTCAATTATTTACCGCTGTTGATGGCGACGGCAGCTCACAACAGCGCTCTTTCACACAGTGAAAACGAAAGCGTGTGCGCGTGAACTCTTGCGCCTATCAGTGTAAATGAGCACATTTAAAGGGATTGCGTGGTTGAACTAGTTTGCCGCATGGCAGCATGTCCCTTTTTACACGCCGAGGCGATAATGACAAACTTTAAAAGTGTCGAACGTCGAGTCTCAGTGTGGATCCACATCAGTTGTGTTTTAATCAAAGTCTAGTTCGGTCCGTTTTGGAGGCGAGAATGCACAATCGAACTCTGGTCCGCCCAAAAACCGAGGTCTCTCTCTGTGGTTTCCATAAGCAGGAAGCGTGCTACAGCACAAGGCATTTTGGGTAAATACAAGCAAAACAGACATGTGAGTCTTGTGCTAGCAGGAGAAATGACTCATGGTCTTTTACCAAAGAGAAATCCTACAACCTCTGAAATCTGACGCTGTTTTGCCTTTGAAGGTTTCCGTGTTGTTGACTTCAGTGGTTCTTGGTGTTACTCCACCGTAGGCGAAAGGAAAAAGGGAAATAGGTTTTTTAAAGGGTTTTGTTTGTTTGACAAAATGTAACAAATGTTGCAGTTTTGGTCCACAGTCGAACCCAATCATGTCTTCTGGACTATCAGGTGTAGAAACTCTTTATCTTGTTTTAATAATGAAGTATACGAGTATAAGGAATTTGCCATAAAACGTAAAGGTGAGAATAGAAACTGCTAATGAAGAAATAGCATTTAATGAGTTCATAAACTGTCTTCTTGTTCTGCTTATGGAAAAATAGAAGGCGTAAGCTGAACTTAGACTAGGACTTGTTCACAGGGTAAGGGGCATTTCATGTCTCTTCCATTCACAAGACGTCTCTCTCACTGAAAGATGTGGTTCTCAGTTGTTAGCATGCTAACGAATGGTGCAGGATCCTGCTAGGGGACTAATTTTCCCTCTGTGGCACAGAAGTTTTTGTCAAAGTTGGAGAAGTTATTAAAAGATATGAATATTAATTCATTTGGATCTAAAACCAGAATCTGCTGAAGGATTTTTTGTTTCTCTTTAGTTTGTGATTTCCTGCCTATTTGGGGGACAATATTCATGGAAATGCCTATTCAGATTTTCTTTTTTCTTTTTTTTTTCTTTTTCCATAGAGGATATCGAAGTATTTGTAAGAAAAAAACACAGCTTGGGAACTCGAAATACCAAGGTGCAATGCTACTTGACTCACATCGGCTGGCGTTCACAAAGCAGCCAATCCAGCAGCACCGTTCTCCCAGAGTTGTCATCTAAAGATCCTTAACCCTTTACTAGATTTGTCCCATTTTTTTCCCCCGTTGAATCTGGCAGGCCCTGCAGTCTCTCTCTCTGGCCGACTCGAGGCTTCGCCACCGGGGAACAGTGCTGGTCAACGCCCTGGGCTCCAACGCCTGCCTCCGGAAGGTGGACCTGAGCGGCAACCTGCTGGAGGACTCCGGGGCCAAGATGCTGAGCAAGGCTCTGCAGATCAATACAACACTCAGGTATGCACCTGATTATATATATATATATATATATATATATATATATATATATAT